GGAAAGAGTTGATTATGGCTCTGAATTTACAATCAAGATCTGTGCTGGGAGGGTCCTAACTTTATTGAATACCATGACCTCTTATGATATAAAACAAGGGATTACATTTAGCATTGACAAAATTTTATTAGTTGAATTACAGGAATACTCTTTTTTTTTTTTTTTGGCAGTATGTGGGCCTCTCACCGTCGTGGCCTCTCCCGTTGCGGAGCACAGGCTCCGGACGCGCAGGCCCAGCCGCCATGGCCCACGGGCCCAGCCACTCCACGGCATGTGGGATCTTCCTGGACCGGGGCACGAACCCGTGTCCCCTGCATCGGCAGGCGGACTCCCAACCACTGCGCCACCAGGGAAGCCCTATAGGAATACTCTTTGTTCCAACAATCAGACTATACTTTCACAGAACTGAAATGTTTCTCACTACTTTTTACCTGGCTCATTCTCATTCATTTTTCAGATTTTAATTTTAAATATATCCTCAGAGAATCCTTTCTTGTTCCCCAATTAAAATCAGAGCTTTCTGTTAGACTCTGGCAACACCTTGTACTATACCATAAGATGTGTCACAAGTAAATTTAATTGCATGATTATTTATTTACTAAATATCCTCTATAATAGATTATAATCTTCAGGAGGCAAGTGTTTTCAATGTATACCCAACAACTGGCACAGTACCTGACAAATGGTAGGTACTCAGTCAATACTTGTTGAGTGAATAAAACATAAAATTTTAAAAAATGGTAAATGACTCACCAGTGATATGGATATGATTATTTTTAGTAGATCCATTGGCAGTTGTGGGAACTTCTGAAAATGCTCTGGCTGTGCTGGTGAAGGTGTCACCTAGGGATATAAAGGGGATATCTGATCTGATCCTAATGACCATCTCCACCTGGTCAAGAAGTGTAAAATTGTGATTGGACTTCACTTGCTATTAGCAAGGGCTCAATTTGAATGGCCTAAATGCTCCTAAAATATTATCTGTAAAGTTTACTAAGGACCAATTTATGCAGGACTGGTATCCTAGGATCTGTCTAACAGTTACCAAAGAGTGAAACTTCCTACTGGTTTAAAGAAAAAAAAGAGAAACAATACAGCACATAAAACAAAATAATATCTGCTAAAGAATCTCCATGAGAAGTGGTTATGGGAAAATGTCTGAAGTTGGTATCATGGAAAGATGAGGCTTATCCATAGTAGTCCAGGTTATCAGAGGTCCAATGAATCAAAAGACTGATTCTTCCCACTCTAATATGTTTGATAAGATCAATAAAAATTCCTTTGCAACATCTGAGTAGACAAATCCATGTCAACAAATCATTCCATTTTCAAATGGAAAACTAAAACTTAAAATGCGCTTTAATGGATTTATTTGGCCCCCAAGTGCTATTATGTAGATTTCATTTTGAAATAAAATAGAGACAAATCTAAGACTTGGTCTCTGACTATCTGTTTTGAGTGACTGGGAAGAATTTTGGTTCCATCCATTGTCATTTTTATGATCACTGTCGTTTTCATCAAGATGCACTTTTAAATACCTGAGATTGGCTTCGTTCTCATTTTTCCACCTCTAATTAAATAAAGCAGACCACAACCTTCCCTGACACTAAATTTTCCCTAAGGGCTCACCATGAAGTGTCGAACCTGCCCTTTAGGGGGATGGACTGTACGTTTCACTGGGCATCCATGAAGCTGCTAAAGGAAGAAGATAATGGAAAAGTTAATCTGTATAAGACTAATTATTTTATTGTCTCTTCTTGACCTTTAATTGAACCTAAAAATTCAGCACACAGTAGAATGTCCCAAAATAAAGTGGGAGTTGAGGGAATGCTTGTGGTCCAGATGTTTCTAATAGGGAAGGTTTTGATCACAGCCATTTAAAGCAGGAAGAAGAAACGGAAGAAAACACTAGGAGAGGTTTTTCCAGCCCCAGAGAGTGTGTGACTGTTCTCATGTCTATCCCACAGATGAGCTAAAAGAATGAAAGCACAGGTGTGTTACAGTGGCCTTCAGTAAAGAAAAGATACCAATAGGACTTTTTTTTTTTAAACATCTTTATTGGAGTATAATTGTTTTACAATGGTGTGTTAGTTTCTGCTTTATAACAAAGTGAATCAGTTATACATATACATATATCCCCATATCTCTTCCCTCTTGTGTCTCCCTCCCTCCCACCCTCCCTATCCCACCCCTCTAGGTGGTCACAAAGCACCAAGCTGATCTCCCTGTGCTATGAGGCTGCTTCCCACTACCTATCTATTTTACATTTGGTAGTGTATATATGTCCATGCCACTCTCTCACTTCGTCCCAGCTTACCCTTCCCCCTCCCCATGTCCTCAGGTCCATTCTCTAGTAGGTCTGTGTCTTTATTCCTGTCTTACCCCTAGGTTCTTCATGACATTTTTTTTCTTTTTTCCTTAGATTCCATATATATGTGTTAGCGTACGGTTATTTGTTTCTTTTGTGTCAAGACCAAAACAATAAGCAAAACCAAAATAAAATAAAACAAACATTAAAATCCCCCTTAGCCTGACCCTTTCTTGGTTTCTCTCTAGATGCCAGTGGCAGTTACAGCTGCTGACAAAGGTATGTTACCAGGCCCTTTGGAAGAGCTGAAAGTCACTGCTTTCTGGGGATTGCTCACAGGACAGTCTGTGATAGCTGCTCCACTTGGGGTCATCCCCCAGGTTAGGGTAATTCTGTATATAGCTGTTTTGAGTTTGTCTAGGTCAGGGAGATGTTCTTATCTTCAATATAGTTCTATGACCCTGTACATGTGATCTTGATCATTTTTGTTCTAGACAGAATGCCAAGGTCTACAGATGACAATGGACTGGGTACTTTTTTAATGCCAATTTTTAATGTTTAAGCCATTAAGCCAGGAGTTTGATTGACAAAGAGCAAAACCAACTAAAAAGAAATTGGAGCCAGGCCTGGATTTAGGTAAAATTATGAAGAAGGCAGTTTGTTCTGGATAACCTTACGGATTTTTTGCCCAATATGGTGTTTCCTTTACTTCCTACTTTTAGGGCCTGATGCCTTTATTTCTTATGTCTTCAAAGTCTGTTTGCAAGAAAGGATATGATAAATTAATTTATGCTAAGATATGAATGGTTTAACAAGTGCTATCACCTTGAGAGAAATGGGTATTTAAAAAAAGATTTTCTATTTTATGTTTATTATCAGCGAGTCAATATAGAACACTTGTAATGATCAGTTATATGTGGGTACCAACTGTTTTTTCATTAAATACAGAGCGCCAGTCTTTTCTGGTCAATTTTGATTTTCTCCAAACAAGAAAACCAAACATAATACAATTTCAGGAGATGGTAATACCATCAGTATGATCCATCCAAATTGCAAAAATGGCAATACTTAACTTAAAATCATGTAAATTATTTGACCATTTCATAAAATTTCTTGTTGGCCTTCTGAAAACTTTTCAAGTATAAAAAGATCTCAAAATATGTGTGATAAAATTGAATTACAAAATCCACTTTGGAAAACTAGGGAGTTATTTTTCTGATTTTGGCTTTAAGATTTTTCAAAATCTGTTAAAAAGAAATAAAGAGGAAAGTGTGTTCAGAGAGGCGAAGAAAAAGAAGCTTCCAGCTGATAGACTTAACATGTCTGAAAATATTTCAGTAATGTAAAGGAAACACTTCAAGAGCAAGAATATATTACAATTAAGAGCGTTTCAGCAAGATTAAGAGATGGGCAGTTCTTGTATTAACTGCTCCCATAGGAGAGAGGTCTTCCTGAAGAATACCAGTTTATAGAATCCTCAGTAAGATAGAGCTGGCTATCTCCAGTGATTTATCTTTCACTAAAACAATACTTTTTCTAAAAGCTCACCCACTCCATCATTTAGATATCCAATTTTTAGGATGTGTTAAACACTGGCTACTCCATCTGCCATTCTTAAGTCTCCTTGGGAGTCTCTCAGCAGAGTTAAATTATTATTGTCCTTTAATTGATTGAAATATTCTGTGTTCTTCAAGGTATCATCATGTTTGTTAAATATATAGGTTAATTCTCCTTTAAATTCTTTGAGAACACATTTTCATCAAAATCCATGAATGAACACTACTTTGACATTTGGATGATAAACACCAGCTTGATGGATGACCTCCTTAAGTACATCACCATTATTGGTCGAAAATATGAACATAGGGATATGGTGTGGTTAGAGTTTCTCAAATAAATTCTTATATCCCTCCTTTAGCATAACATCAGTTTCTTCCACAATTCCTTTAAATTTAGCTTTTGATAAAGGTTATTCGACAAGGAGACTCTGTGAACTTAGCATACCATTCTACCATAAAAGGGTACTTCTATGGTAAAAACAAGATCACATTGATAGCATTGTCTTTTTCCTTGAGTTGCAATAACTTTTTTGTTTGTTTGTATTTTGTGGTACGCGGGCCTTTCACTGTTGTGGCCTCTCCCATTACGGAGCACAGGCTCCGGACGCGCAGGCTCAGCGGCCATGGCTCACGGGCCCAGCCGCTCTGCGGCATGTGGGATCTTCCCGGACCGGGGCACGAACCCGCGTGCCCTGCATCGGCAGGCGGACTCCAACCACTGCGCCACCAGGGAAGCCCAGAGTTGCAATGACATTTTTTGACATTCATTTGTAACCAGCTTACAGTTCTCAATAATATTATGACATGTTAGGCATCCTTCCCTTTGTAGGAAAATCCTTACTGTCATGATTATCTGGTTTGGCAGCTCCTCTTTTGACAACATCACAGATAATTTCTGGTACTCTTATAGGGTTCTTGAGGCAAACTGAACTTTTCTAAAATGCTGGCATGATTTTTATATGTACAGACTTTATATTGAGTAACCAATCTTCCTTAAGACACTCTGAGTTCTGCCCTTAATTTTGTCCTAGAACAAAGGCATAGGGTGGCAAGCAATAATCATAGATGCAGGGCTTGGACACAGAGATCTCACTGATCTTGGTCTTCTGCCCCAATTTTTTCTTCAAGGGGAATATATACTGGGTCAGCATCACCTCTTCCATCAGGATGCAAATACTGGCACCAGCTACTGTGTCCACTCTTGCCATGATCACTTAGTCCATAAATGGGACCCCCCCTTATGCTCTTCCTAACAAAGATGACATTTACGAGCTTTGGAAGTGTGGGGCTTGTGTACTAACTGTGAAGCACATGGAGCCCCCAGAAACTGGTATTTTAACAAAGGATAGAATTTTAAATCAGAGGAATAAATCTTTAATTTGAGGCTGACCTAATGAGGAATTAGGTGACAGAATGGGAGCAGAACAGTGTTTTAGATAAAAGGAAAATGGAAAGAGATGTGATCTGAGACATATAAGATTTTAGAATTTGAAGATAAGAATGGTGAGTTTAGAGAATCAGCATCCTGGCCAACAGGGAATGGAGGGACTGAAGAGATTATGGTGCAGCCTGACACAGGGCCCAGCATCGTTGCAGGTCCTGGCATTGCTGTGTCCCTGCCATTGACCCTCAACTCCTCAACTCTAGCTTCTCCATCACCCTCTGCCTATGGAAAGTAGAAGGGGTTGTTATGAAATTATTAGGCACAACTACCAGGAACTTGAGGAGAAACAGCCAGGGCCAGGGACAGGATAAGAAATGTACTTGTAAGATTTAAGAAGAATACATAAATTTTGAAGAATATGGGATGCAAGGTCAAAGAGCAGAATAAAGACCTCATGTGAGATTGATAAGAGGTACTCTGAGGCCGGTTGTGTGTGTGTGTGTGTGTGTGTGTGTGTGTGTGTGTGTTTGTGTGCACATGTGGTGACAGTGAACTTGATGATTTTGGTAATGGGATAAATTGGAGGCTTAGGGACCCATGGAGACTCATATCATTTTTCTGCTTGCCTAACTTAGACAGACAAACTGATTTCAATGTGGCTTTAGGCTCCACTGGGCCAGATGGATGGCAGGAAAAACCAGAAAGAAAAAAATAATTAAGCTTCAATTTTCTCCTCTATGGCCTGATCACCTGTGTCAGGATGAAAACGTGTCCCAGGATGTTATTAAGCTCATACATTTTGGGTATTTAGAAGTTCAGATTTGGTATCCCCATTTCATAGATGGTTACAGTAAAATATGCATTACTGTTCTAGACTGTAGGAAATATGGAAGCTGAACTAGGATTAGATTCCAACACTCTTGAATTGCAGCCAAGACCTCTTCAAGTTAATAAATAACAACAAAATAATATATTAAAACATACACTAATAAATTTATTGTAAATGCAATGTACTCAGAACTTCCTTGTGACATCCAAATATATAAGAGCTATAAAAATGCATGTATAAGCAAATATCCCATAGAATGTGTTCATAAATAGCAAGGGCCCTAGAAGCACTGCTAGTGGGTTTATTTCACTAGAAATCCATCCATTATCATTCTTTTTTTCCCTCTGAACGTTTTATAAATCTACTGAAGTAAACATATTGGAAGAAAAAAATCCCATTACCAATGCCTGACACGAATCTTGCCAAATGCATCATCTAATATTGGATGTCATATTGCAGTCCAATCCAATGAGTAGAAACATGTTTCAAAAACAGTTTGGGACTGAGCAATCAATATTAACTTGTTGGATCCTAACGTGTTTTTGTGAATGATTATAAATAGAGCAACTCACTGTGGGGAATTTTTTCTCTAAGCTTATGGATGAAAAATGGCAAATGGTTAACAAGATCTTCTTGCATAAATAAAAATGTGGGTTTTCACTGGCAGGAAAAAAAATTGTTTGTTGGGTTTTAGAGTCCCTTCCTAGATTTCACAATTTCTAAGGCTATTTTTATGGTAAGAATGATAAAGAGATGTCTGAGGATAGATGAAGTTTTCAAGTGGGGAAGGACAGAAAATGTGAAGAATTACAATAGTTCATTTCATTATGAAATCTGTTGAAAAGACCAAGAATATACTTGTGTAAATTAGGAAGCACTTGCAAGCAAGACCCTTTCAATTTTCTAGTTTCTGGGGCAAAAAGTACCTTGGGTGGCCTCTTTGCTTCATATTGATGGGATGCACGGGATTAAAAGGATTTTATTCTGGGCACACATGCTATTGTAATAACAATTTAAATAAAACAAATAAATAAAAAGCTCAAAACTTTCAATTAAACAGATCATTTCTTTTCACTGTGTGTGTGTGTTTTTTCTTCCTTGCCCAAATGTACACATACCATTTCAATCATTCAACAAATATTTGCTGAGCACCTACTGTTGCCTGCCACTATTACAGATGTTAGAATACTACAGTAAACAACAGAAAAAGATTTAGGTCCCTGTTCTTGTGTATCTTACATTCTAGTATAATTTCAATAGACAATCAAATAATTCAAATCAACAAAGGAAAACATCAGATGCTAATTAAAATATGGGATAATTTATATGCAATCATAGTATAAATTTAAGTTGGAGTCCAGCTTTTTCCTACAACAATGTCCAATAAATTTTTTTTTTTTTTTTGCAGTATGCGTGCCTCTGACCGTTGTGGCCTCTCCCATTGCGGAGCACAGGCTCCAGACGCGCAGGCTCAGCAGCCATGGCTCACGGGCCCAGCCGCTTCACGGCATGTGGGATCCTCCCGGACTGGGGCACGAACCCACGTCCCCTGCATTGGCAGGCGGACTCTCAACCACTGCGTCACCAGGGAAGCCCTGTCCAATAAATTTTTACCCCCATTGTTACATGATCTACCTTCCCTGTAACCAAAAAGTATTAATTCATTTATTGATTCGACAGTATTTGTTGAGCACCAACTCAATACCATGCACTATCTCAGGCACTGTGGATACAGGTAAACAAACAAAAAAACACTTCCATGGAACTTTCTTGTATTATAGTATCAAGAATAAAGGGTGGGCTTCCCTGGTGGTGCAGTGGTTGAGAATCCGCCTGCCGATGCAGGGGACGCGGGTTCGTGCCCCGGTCCGGGAGGATCCCACAGGCCGCGGAGCGGCTGGGCCCGTGAGCCATGTCCGCTGGGCCTGCGTGTCCGGAGCCTGTGCTCCACGGAGGGAGAGGCCACGGCTGTGAGAGGCCCGCGGACCGCCAAAAAAAAAAAAAAAAAAAAAAAAAAAAAGAATAAAGGGTGACAACTAGTGTAGGTAGAGTTTCAGCATAGTTTATTATCAACAACTCAATTTTATGTTAACATCAATTTTATGTTTAACATAGGATAAATGTTAATCTATTAAGTATGAACTTTCAACCCCAGTCTAATGCTTTTTATTATCAATTAATATCTGATTGGTAAAAAACTCCCAGCTTCTACCCTTTTCTCTGTAGCTTAGTACATTTTGGCTTTTGTTTTGTTTGGCTTCATAATATCCATTGACTTATTATCTCATCCTACCCCCAACTCATACACACAGATTTTGGAATTATTAAAAATGACATTATAAATATTTACTCCCCATCCCATCCCTGGTATGCTCATTCAAAAGCAAATGCTGTTCTGAATGTTGTCTATTATTCACTTACTTATATATATTTTAAATTTTTATCACTTATTATGTCTAAGCCATATAGTGTTCGGTTGTACTTGCTTTTAATCCTAGAGATTATCATAGTAAGTGAAGTAAGCCAGCCAAACATCAGAGAAAGACAAACACCATATGATATAGCTTATATGTGGAATCTAAAACAATGATACTAGTGAACTTATTTACAAAACAGAAATAGACTTACCCATGTAGAAAACAAACTTATGGTTACCAAAGGGGAGGCGAAGGGAGGGATAAATTAAGTGTTTGGGACTAAAATATACACACTACTATATATAAAATAGATAATCAACAAGAACCTACTGAATAGCACAGGGAACTATACTCAATATCTCATAAAAAATATGAATGTAAAAAAAGAATATATATTTAGATGTATGTATAACTGAATCACTTTGCTGTATACCTGAAGCTAACACAACATTATAAATCAACTTTATCTCAATAAAAATTTTAAAAAATTTAAAAATTAAAAAAAATAAAATTTACTTTAAAATATCATTCCATATATTGTCATTTGGCATTTACTTTTTTGACTCAATACAGTGTTATTAAGATTCATTCATGCTGTCATACATGGCTGCCATTCACTCATTTTTCATTGCTCCATAGTATTTTATGATATGACTATACTACAGTTTATTTATCCACCCTCCTAACTATGACCATTTAGATAATTTACAGTTTATTTTTTTTTGTTATTATGAGTAGTGTTTTCCCCCCAACATTTGTGTACATATCTCCTGGACACGTATAATAATAATTTGTTTTTTGGGGGGTATTTATCTAGGAGTAGAAGTGTTGAATTGCCTGCTATGAAACTCTTCAGCTATAAAACATAATGCCTAAGTGGTGGAAAGAGATGGTACCAATTAATACCCTCACCAGCAACATATAACAAATTGTATTAATCTACATCCTATGTAACACTTGGCAATTCCAGATTTGTTAATTTTTGCAAGTTGATTATGTCTAAAATGACTTCCTGAATTTAGTCTTCACTGGCATGTCCTGATTGTTACAGAGGCTGAGAATCTCTAGATGTTTTCTAGCTACTTGTGTTTCATCTTTTGTGATGTGCCTATTTGTTCATTTCCTACTGCTTTTTGTCTTTTTAAAACTTGGTTTGTAGGCATTCTTTATATATTCTTGATATAAAGTTTTGAACCTTTGTTAACTATATATTCTTGATCCTTTTTCAAATATGTGTGGCAAATATCTTCTCCCAGATTACAGTTTGCCTTTTTTTAAACTGTCTTTAAGGAGTCTTTTGATGAAAAAAATTTTCTTAATATTGTATTCTAATTTTTCAATTGTTTTTATGGCTTTATGTCTCTTGTTTAAGCCCTTTCTTACCCCGAATCCAGGAGGAAGTTTACCCTAATTTTATTACATGTTTTAATATTTAGCTATTTTGATATTAAATTTTGTGTCAAAATTTAGATATCTTGACACAAATATCTTAAACTACATGGAGTTTGTTTTTGTGTACTGTGCATGGTGGGAGTGTATTTTAACATGTTTTTCTTATAAAAAATCAATGTTCCTGGGTCCACTTGCTGAACAGTCTCTTCTTTTTACAGTACTCTGCATGCCACCTTTGACATACATCTAGGTTACACTGCCTTACGGATCTCTTTGTGTGCTCTCTCTTCTGATACTGCCTTTTCATTCCTGTATTTGGGTACTGAGTTCATGGGTGTCTATTATACTATCAACGTATTTGTTGAGAGAAATGTGTTACATTAAATTATAGAGCATCATGCCCAGACTAAGAATAAAACTGTGTCATGAATTAAAGATTGTGATTAATCTAAATCTGTGAACCTGAGGTCCATAAAAGAGATAAAATAAATAAATTATGCTCAAAGAGCGATATTACACAGGTTCCTTTTCTCTCTTTGATTTATTTCCTAAGGACAAGTTCCTTAGGAACAGTGAGACGACTGACTGAGCCAGTGGGTATAAAAGACTTTTAGAGGTTTTCAATGTACAACTTAGACGCTTTTTAAAAGGGACATACACATTTACTCTGTGGCAAAGGGCTCGGGAGTTAAATTCAGAAGTCCTGCACCTGTGGCATCCAGGTTTCTCTTCGCTTTAGCCACATCCTTTGTTGCTTCCCACCATGCTGATCTTTGTCTTGTACCACTAAGAGGCAGTATATTTCCTTTTCAAATCCTGTCAATACCTGCTAAGGCAGCATCAGCAGACCCTGCTGCTACTTGGTCAGATGACAAGTAACAAACCATTTCTGTGCCTCACACTGGGCTCTCTTTTCCTTTTTCTTTTTCTTTTCAGTGATATGCATATTCTAGCTAGTTCCCTCTTTCCCCAGATCTACTGATAGTTTGCTTTTTTATCTCTACTTTACTCAGATGTTGCCTTCCTCAGTAAGGCCTTTCAAGACCACTCTATTTAGAAGGGCAATGCCCCCTCACCCTTGATTCTCACTGTCTCCCTTCTCTGCTTTATTTTTTCTGTATCACTTAACACTATTTGTCTGTCTCTCTTCCACCAGATTTTGGAACTTAGGTCTGTTTTGTTTACAGATATATCCCTAGCAACTACAACAATGCTTTAAACATTGTCAATGCCTTGTAAATATTTGTTAATATGATTATAAACAAAGCACACAGTAGCTGTTCAATATGTGTGTTGAGTAAATGAATGAGGCCCAGAGTACTCCAAGGGACTCACAGTTACACTTACAGTATTTGGCGTCTTTCCCACTGGAGGTCCAGGAGTAGTTGAAGCCTCGAGTAGTCAGGTCGTAACTGCTGGCTGAAAGACAAAATTTTCAGAATTCCACTTTCTTGTAAGGCTGTAGTTTAATTTTACTTTGATGTGCTGAATTTTTAAACTGTATGACTTTGGGGAAATCTGAAATTGAAAATATGCTTTGCTACACAGGAACACTAGCTGGCATAATAAGCAAAAGTCTGTAGTTTACGTTTAATGCCAACTTGCCACTGATTTTCCTTCTTTTTCTGTTCTTGTCACCAACTCAGATCACTGGGAGTATTGTCAAGATTAATATTACCTTAAAAATCCCATGACAAATGAAAAATACAATATAATAACAAATCACCAACCCATATTTTAAGATTACAGTGATTGGCATATCAATACAGAGTCACCAGATTATAACTTGCCACAGAGTAACTCAAAACCAAAATATCAACATCAAATGAAAAAAAGATAGCATTTTGCCCAAACCTCAATATTATCATAGCTGTAGTGTTGTGTTGTCTCTTTTGAGTCACATGAGGAAAGCCTTGCTATACTCACTTTGAGCACTTGGAGGGGTGACGTTTGGAGTCGATGTAGTCACATCTACAAGGGCTGTTGAAGATGGAGCTGGATACCCTACTTTGAAAAAAAATTCCCAAATTGTCATAGGTATTTACTTTCACACGTTTAAATATGCCACTATGCTTAAAAAGGGTGGCACGTAGAGCATGGAGTGTTAAGAGTTGGAAAGAATCTTAGTGAATACATACTCTAATGGCTTCATATTATAAATTATGAAACTGAGTTCAAAAGTCCTACGCTTGTGGTTACACACCCAATATTCACACTTTCAAAATACATTGTTTTAGCATCTACTGTGTGCAAGACTATTCGACATGCAATGAACAATGAAGACAAGGTCCTCACCCTCATGGAACTTATCTTGTAGTGAATCTGCACAACTGTATATAATAGTTTCACATACTAAATATGGTTTCATATTTACTTCAATTCTTAGCTTTCAAAATCATCTCCATCTTTATAAGCCATCATATTTCCCATTCTTCTCCCTCCCTTCCCCCCCAAAATGAAAGACTAATTCATATTCATTTGAAAATATCTCTGGATATAAAGCAAAGTAGATCGAAGAAGAAAAATACCCTAACCACAGCACACTGAAACATGTTTACGTCTCTAGGGAAGACAAATCTTTAATAGATTTTTTATTTATATGTACTTCTCCTTTGTTCCAAAACATGTTCATGGTGGCTTACATAAATATGCAAGTGCGAGAAGATAAAAGAAGTGGATAGAAAGAGAAAACAAGGGCAAGGAAAAATAAAGTTAGAAAAAGAATGTTGAGTTTTGTTGAAACCTGACTGGAGATATTACATAAAATGCATTTCTTGATGTAGTGTTCTCTTAGTAGATATGGACTGCACATTTGGTCAGAACTTTCTAGTAACAATGCTAAGAAATAAAAAGTATATGTTATGCCATTGGACTTCCCTGGTGGCGCAGTGGTTTAGAATCTGCCTGCCAATGCAGGGGACACGGGTTCTATCCCTGGTTTGGGAAGATCCCACATGCCGCAGAGCAACTAAGCCCGTGCGCCACAACTACTGAGCCTGTGTTCTAGAGCCCATGAACCACAACTACTGAGCCCATGTGCTGCAACTACTGAAGCCTGCACACTCTGCAAAAAGAGAAGCCTCCGCAATGAGAGGCCCGCGCACCGCAACGAAGAGTAGCCCTTGCTCGCCACAACTAGAAAAAACCTGCCCACAGCAACAAAGACCCAACGCAGCCAAAAATAAATAAAATTAAAAAAAAATCAAATATCTATCTATCTATCTATCTATCTATCTATCTATATATAAGTGTATGTTATGCCATTGATGAACATTATAAGATAAATACAGTCAATTTTTAAGAGAAACACAGCTATTCTTTTCATTATGATTAAAAAAATTTTCTCCCCAGTCTTTATAAAAAAGATACTGTAAAATGTGTACAATATTCTCAACAATATCCTTACAGTATGGCAGCCAATATGCTCATTCACCCTCAAGCTTTAGTTAGTAGTGAATAGCCTGGCAACTTCCCAGGTACCTCAATTCTGGGAAAGGGCATGCCTTAAATAGAAAACACGGGTAATCAAATCTCTGAAAGAAGTATATATAAGATAAATAAATAAATGGCATCGTGGTTCATAAGAAGCTCACAAAAGAGATGACCAACAACAATCGTTTTACAATGTAGCCTACCAATGAACACCAAAGACATACTACACACCAGCTCCATGAATACAGTTAGATACAGCGAGATGTGTTATAGGCTGCCTCACGTGATGCTGTATGAGGAATGAAAATGGGCAGCCAGCAGCAGGATGGGCAGAAAAACGTGTTTTAAAGACAGGATATGCACAGCTTCATTTATCCAACAAATACTTATCGAGTTCCCACTATGTACTAGTATTGGAGACAAAGTGCAGAGAATGAGAGTTTTTGCCCTGCCCTTGTGGAGTATACAATTTAGTGAGAATAAAGGTCAATATGGCAGATTACTGGCTGGCCACCAAACCCAGTCCTCTTCTTTCTGGCACAGAGAAACTACACTTCCTAGCCTCCTGTGCAGTTAGGTGTGGTGGCCATGTACCAAGTCCCAGGCCATGGACTGTGAGTGGGAGTGATGGTTGTCACTTCAAGGCTTGTCCTATAAAATATCCCACATATGATCCTCCATGATCTTTCCTCATGTACTATCCAGGTATTATGACATAGAGTGACTTGGAAGTCACAACTAAAATGTGATAGAGCTGCCACAGCATGGGTTACAGAACAGAGCACTCAGCTACTTGCTTGTCCTTTTATTGGTTCTTTCTGTTAGGATAAATAAATTTGTATTATATCAAGTATAAATGAACAAAATGAAATGTTGGAATTTGTTGTTACTGTAGTTTGTTTTCTTTCCCTCACAAATAGTATAAAGAGAATTGCAGCAGAAGATAAGTACTATGGTAGAGAAAATGCACTGTGCTGTGGCATTCCAGAGGAGGAACACATAAATAACCAAGACATGTGAGCTCGGCGAAGGCTTTCTGGAGGAAGTGACGTATCAACTAGGCTTGAAGGGTGACAAGGATTAGCCAGACTAGCTGGAGAAAGGGGGCAAGCAAGGAGCAGAATGTTCCAAGCAGTGTGGACAGAAAAGGTGGGAGAGAACGGAAGCCCGATCAGAATGTTGAAGGCACTCTGAGAAGAACAGGGATGAGGATAGAGAAGTAAGAAGAAGCTACATACTTAAGATTCCACGGAGGAATAATATCCAACTAGTCCTTAACAGATGCTCTGGCCCCAGGGTAAGTGAAGGGTGGCCTGGACTATAGCATGAAGGCTGTGGGGAAGAAGAGAAGTGGACAGGTTTCAAGTGTGGGCTCTACAGGCTTGGTAAATGGCTGAATGTAAGAAATTAGGAAGAGAGAGAAGTCAAAATAACTTCCAGTTTTCCAGCTTGGGCAGATTTTTGGACCAAGGCATCATTATCTGAGAAAATAAACAGAAAAAATAGCTTTGGAAGGCCAAGAGGCACGAAGATGAAATAAATTTTGGACAGATTGATTCTGAGTGCATATGAGACATTCAATTCCACAGGGTTGAGCATGTGAGTCTGAATCTTAGGAGTAAAATTAGGCTTCAAATGAGTATTTGTGAGACATCAGCATGTAGACAGTAATTGGAGTAACTGAGAGCGCCAAAGAAGATGGGTCCTGGCAGGAGAAAAGGAGATTGAAAAGGAGCACCCCAGGGAGGCAGGAAGAAAGCCAGGGGCTGTGGCTTAGAGAAGCCAAGGTGACAGAGGGTTTCCAGACGCAGGGCCAGTCAGTCCAATTCAGCAAATATCTGAGTGAGCGCTATGTGCCAAACGCTGGGTCAGTGCAGTCAAATGCTGCCAAGAAGACAGATTCCCTTCTAGCTCTTAACTGCTAGGAAGCCATTGCATTAGACTTGCATACAAAGCCTAAGAGACAGATTTGCAAACCACTTGGAGATGTGCAAAAGCAGTGTAGCTTAGCTATTAAAAGCATGAATTCCAGAGCCAGATACCGTGAGCTGAAGCCTCGCTTAGTTCTAAGTTAAATGTACGATCTTGGTAAAGTCTATGGACCTGTCTCTCTTTCTTGTATTCCTCGCGTCTAAAGTAACAGTACTTTTCTATAGTGTGACTGTGATGATTGAGAACTCATCACTTGTATGAATTCTCGTAGAAGAATGCCTGGCATGAGGTAAGCACTAAAAAGTAATCTTAGAAGCTATACAACAGGTCATCTGCAGTTTAGTTCAGGTGCTGAAAACACAAGCATATCGTAGCACTAGACGAATCTCCTGATGAGTTCTACCATTGACCCACTTTCCCTGGTCTTTCTAGAAGGATTCTGATTCCACGTAACCAATCCCTCCCTCCCCAGGCTGGCCCAAGTCAAGAACTACGTTCCAAAAGGCTGCACCAGAAAAGGGCTGTCTGGGGTGAAGAGAACGGCAGCGTGCTGGGCATTAGCTCTCTGATGGCATACTGATGCCTACTGGCAGAGTCACCTGCAGCTCTCCTCTTCCACCTCACTGAGCCCCCGGGGCTCAGATTCTTGTGCAGTCACTGTAACTTCCAGCTCACTGCGTCCCACTGCTCATCAAGACAAACGGCAGGAAAAAATGCACCAAAAGACTGGCGGCAGGATACATGAGGTAGCTGCAGGGCAAGCTCAGATTGTCTCAAACTGAGTATTGGGATCACATTCCTGGACACCCCAGAACTGCTCTTAGGGAATTGAGCCCTGGCGTTCTCCCACTGGCCCACCCTGGCCGGCAGTCGAATAGCAAGGAGGTCAGCTGCTGTTCACTCCCTGTGAGCATTTGGCTGGCTGTGCTCCACCACGCCCTCTAGAGGAAGGCCCAGGAAGTCTCTGCATCAAGAGCAGCTGTGATTCTCCTCTGCAGCTGGCTCGTTAGGATTTTAAGAACCTATGGATCACAGAGTGAATCTGAATTTCTTTCTCTCATCGAGATGGCTTTATCTTTGTCCCTCTTTGCAGTAATTTCTTCAGTTATCTATTTTTAAAATTTTGTAAGTTTACCTCGTAACCGTACAAGACAAAGTAAAAAATGCGTAGAAGAAAACTAGCCATAAGTAATCATTGGATACTGTGGGATACTGAGAGATATGATGTGCTCCTCCTGATTAATATAGGAAGAAAAGGTGAAAGAGGAAGTGAGGAGGGGAAGGCAAAAAGAAGAAAGACTATCCACGTTTTAAACAATTCTCAGAAGGATAAGAGAAAGAATGATCCCTTTACTCTGGAACTCTGTTCCTTGTATAGGAGAAAGTGTGCCTTTCATTGTCAGTCATACTCTCATCAGTCATAGTCTCATCTCTTATCTCCCTTCCCATGGGCAAGCATCATTCATTCTTCCTCCCTCCCCCACTCTCTTCCTCTCACTGGGAGAACTGACCTTCACAGTATTCACCAAGTGACTTGGTAAGTAAAAGTAGAAAGGAATGGTTTTAACAGCGGTGATACATCATAACAATGGTGATGATGATGATGAAGAAAAAGAACGTGGAAGCAAAAATCAGAGAAC